ATCACCGCGGAGCGTCAGGTGAGGGGGCGTCCGGGCCAAGGTCACCGGGTGTGGGGGCGGGGGCGGGGGCCGTCCCGGTTCTGACCCCGGCGCACACCAGGACGGGCGTGCGACCTGGCGGGGACAGGGGATGCGGAGACCACGCCCTCCCGGACCTCTGCGCTGGGGGCGGGCGGGGAGGCCGCGGGGCATCGAGGCACCGGGTCGCAAGGGCCGCCCGGAAACCCGCGCTCGAGGGCAGCGCAGGGCTTTACCCCCCTTCCCTGCCCCCGCTGTCGCCCGGAGTCGGCGACAGCCATCACGGAGTCCTGCGTGTGACGCTCCGCCCCCTGCCTTGCCGGCTTAGGGGGGTGTCCGCTGGTAAAAGGATTTCTGGGCTCTTCCCTCTTGGGGCCTTCATCCCTGCTCGGGCCGGCCCCTCTACACCGACCTGCATCTGGGGGGGTGCCCGCGTGGGCAGCACCGCCCTGAGTTCTGAGGAGGAAGCCAAGAATCTTCTCTACTTGAGAGGCCTTGCAGGGAGGCTGGATGGGTGAGGCCCGGAGCCATGGGCCAGCCCTTTGTGCTCGGGGCAGTGGGCCCCAGGAACCCAGAGAACGCCCCCAGCCTCTTGAGGCTCTCACACACCCTGAGACACCTGGGAACTGCCCCTGCCTGGGCCAGAGCTGCTCTATTAAAATTGTATTGCTGTGCTTGCTTCATCTCTAGTGACTTAAATAATCACGAGTTACAGTTTAGAGCGAAATGTAAACAAACACCAAGGCCTCTTGGTACCTCCCCACATAACCCACGACGAGTTCGGTGAACAGGCAGGTGCTCAGAGGGGAGACCATGCCAGGTGAGGCGGGAGGTTGGGGGACAGTACACTGTCAGCCCTGTCTTCCCTGGCTCTAGATGGACTGTCTTCTCAGCCCTGGTCCCTGCCTTTAAAACTGGGCTCATTGTGCCTCGAGCCAGACCCCAGCCTTCCTGTCTCTCTAGTGTCATAGCTGCACGCATATAAACTGTCAGCAAACTTGGTAGTTTCAGAGGTCATTACTCCCAGACCCCACTTGGGAAACTACACTAGAAACCCACGTGGCAGCCGAAGGCCCCTCTCTCACACCCCAGCATTCTCACGGCTCCACCTACCCCAAAGATGGAGGCCCTTTTCTGGGAGTCAGCACAGGAAGAACACGTCCGTGGCTCTGATGTTCCTGTTTGCCTCATCCCCCAACTCTCTGACAGGTCACCTGAGAAAAAGCTCCAATTCTAGCTAAGTGTTCCCACCCCTGTCCCCAAGAAGGCAGGAGCAAGGGTTGGACAAAGCTGTGCCTTGACTTCCCTGTCACTGGTGGCTTTTTTTTTTTTTTTTGATGACTGGTAAGGGGATCTTAACCCTTGACTTGGTGGTGTCAGCACCACGCTCTCCCCAGTGAGCCATGGGCCGGCCTACTGGTGGCTTCTTTGAAGCCAGTTCTGCCCATGGTCCATCAAGTCATGACTGACAGATGAACCCCAGGGTGGGGAGCAGAGTTGGCTATGGGTTAGAGTTCGGAGGGGCCCTGAGCCTCATCCTTGGGGCACAGAAGGGACCTGTGCTCTGGGTTTGTGCTTCAGGTCTCATGCCAGCCCCCACAGGGTGAAAACAAGGGCACGTGTCCACCAGAGCCTGTCCTTCCCCGTCTAACCCACAGCCCCAGGCTTTGCCACCCAAGCAGAGTTTCTCAGCCCAGACCCTGTCCCAGCGGCTTGCACCCTACAACCTAGGGACGGCCGGTCGCAAGAACCAGACTTCCACAGCAGGGGAAGGAGGCCCCTCCCTGTGCAGGGAAGGGATGGAATGGGAAGAGAAGGGGGCCAGGGTGGGGCTGCCCTCCCCACACGGCCACGTCCTGTGAGCAGACTGAAGACACGCCTTATCTTTACGACGGTGTCTTCGTCAAGGGAGGAAACCAGAACATTTTATTTATCAGCTTCTTGAACTTTTCAAAAGGCACACGGTGTGGGCGTCCTTTGGTGCCCGTGCGCTGGCTCTTGAGTGTGAGGACTGGCCTTACGACCTGTGTTTCAGGAGGCGCGTCCCACCTGGCCCGACCCTGGGGAGGCCGCAGCTTCCTGGTCCCAGGCCGGTCTCTCGGGAAATGGCCCCGGGGGCTCCCGCGCTGCCGCCGGCGTTGCCGCTGCTGCTGCTGCTGCTGCTACTGCC